TGTTTACTGAACTAATCCCAGAGGTTATGAGGTTATGATTGTCTGTTCACATCCTTATTAGTTATACTTTCGAAAATATTTTAGTCCGACGAAATCGTGAAAATCGATTCCGAAAAAAATACTTTCAAAATAAGAAAAGCAGTGAGAATCTAGACTTTGCTTAAACATTAAATTCACTTTAGAATATTTATTATTTGAACTGTTCGCAGTACATATTGATTTTTGTATGTCTGTCTAGATTTCCGACAAATCTGGTCATGCTTCCAACTACTGTAGGTAAAATGTTTGAACCTTCTAAAAGTGAACGCGTTACACAGGAAGACGCCAGTGTACTGTCAAGTTGGGTCGAGATTTTGGAACTGGGCAAAAAAAGGTTGTATCGATCAAATGAAAAGTGCACTATTTATATTATAACTTTCATGATGCAGCAACTACTGAAACGGGACCATCTAATTCGTAAAGTTCAAGGTCTTCCAGAAAAGTGAACAGTTTTGTTGTCTAACCATTTGAAGGAACCGTAGCGCTATTTAAAGAAATAACGTATCCTGCGAGCCGCAGCTCTTTATTTTTTTCTCCTTTGGATAGGTACTGTCAGTATGTATGAATCACCACAATTTGGAAGATTATCCGGCAGAAACCAAACATCGTCCGTTTTAAAGAAGTGTTGCAGTTGAATGCCTTGTTTGGATGGGGTTGCAAAGTGCGTAAAATTAGTTGATGTACGACATTATTTATTATTCTTAACAAACTTGAAATAACTGTGTAATCCATTTTCACATTTCAATCGGTTTTCATTACAAACAAACACCGTACAACATGGTGCCGCACGATAAAAAACCTAATCTTCAAAACCGAAGTACGCGATTATCATTCACTTAGTTTGGCTTCTGTGTTCTGTGTTCTGAAGTTTCTGTCACTTTTTCTCGTTCCCTCTCATGTTCGTATCGAACAGGAATCTCTCAAATGCGCGTTCATCGTGTCCATTTCCAGGATGGTCATTCTCGCTACGGACCTTGGTCTTCACCACAAGAAGATGAATTCTGTCGTCGTCAATCTACGCCCGTTGCACCGTA